ATCTTTGCAAACTCTAAAAAATAGAACTATCATATGAGCAGGCTAGCTTGTTCCTAGCTATATACATGAAGTCATCATTCCACAGGGACTTCTGCATATCCATGTTCATTGTAGTACTATTCAAAGAGCCAAGACTGGACGGCCATCAAAAGAATACATACAGAAAGTTTTATATACATATATATGCATACATGCTACTATGATATTTACATATGCATGTATATATACACATGTATTAGTTGGGCTATTAGAAAGTGAAATTCTGTCACTTAACACAGTGGATGGAGCCCGAAATCATCAACTGAGTGAAATTAGCCAGACTTATAAAGATGGGAAGCTCACCTTTGTCTTATTTGTGAGTTATCATAGTTAGTGTTTGTCCAGTTAGCACAGACCTGACATCATTAGGAAGAAATACTCTCAGCTGAGGTATGGCATCTATCAGATTGTCCTGTGGACGAGTCTGGGGCATTTTCTTGGTTGCTGATGGATGGAGACGGGTCCAGCCCACTGTGAGTAGTACCACCCCTGGGCGGGTGTCCTGGGCTCTAGGAGGCGGACCCTGAGCAAGCCAGGAGAAACAAGCCAGTGGGCAGCGCTCCTCCGTGCCTTCTGCTTCAGCTCCTGCCTTATGCCCCTGCCTCAGACTCCCTCAGTGAAGGGCCGTCAGCTGTAGGATGAAATAAAACCCTTTCCTCCAACTGAACTGTGTCCTTGGCCCCCATGAGTTGTTCCTTGTTTTGCTTTACTGGAAAGGAGTGGGCATCTGGGCCTAGTAGTGGGAGTCCAGGGCCCCATGGCTTGATGCCGCTGAGCCCCGAGACAGGTGCGTGCTCACATCTGCTTCGGAGGGCTTTGTTTTGCCCGGAGGCCGCGAGCACAGGCACGACGACTTCCCATCACCGTGGATTTGGGAGTGGGTTGTCCCTTCTGTGGCTGCGTGACTAACTGCTCTCAGATCTTTAGAGATAGTCAGTGAAGGTCGCAAGGGTGGACATGGATTAAAATGATGGATGGTCTGTCTGTCCTGCTCCTCCTGAGGCCTACACTACAAAGAACACAGACTCCCAAGGTAGAACCAGTGTGGAAAACCCAGGAAAAAGCTGTGCTGTGGATCTTTCTCCTCTTTTTCCTTCTTCCTTTTTATCTTCTTTTATTTTATTTTGGTGTTTTGAGACAGGGTTTCTCTGTGTAGCCCTGGCTGTCCTGGAACTCTCTCTGGAGATCCGCCTGCCTCTGCCTCCGTGTGCTGGGATTAAAGGCGTGCGCCACCGACGCCACCACCGCCCGGCAGTTCTTCGCCTTATTTTAATACCCTTTTATATCTTAGGCCTCTGGGTTGGTGGCAGCATCGGCTCTAGATCCTGTGATGCCCCATACTAGGAGCACAAAGCCTTTTCAAGTGGTGCCGAATGGCATTCTGGGAGCCTACCTGGTTGGATGTGGGAAGGGTGGTTGAGAAAGCCAGGGAGTCCAGAGATTACAGAGTTCAGCCTTGGTGGCAGGAGAAGCAAGCATGCCTGGCCCTTGTGCTTTCTGCCTACTCTCTAGTCTAGGGTAAGTACATGACCAGGAAACAGCACAGTCGAGTGTAGTTGGGCAGAGACGCTGGGGGGCATCTGGAAGGCTGTAGATCCCCGTGACATGGAAGCTGAGGCCTCCTAGAACAGAGTAAAGGCGACCATTGCCCCCAGGTGTGTATGGTAAGGATGTGGCAGGAGGCCAGAGCAAATACACAGTCCTACTCCACAGTGAGAGAGTTTATGGCAGTGTCATGGAGGTTTCCGGAGGCCAGGATGCTGTTGTCCCCTAGCGGGGATTTCTGAGTAGTGGGGTCCAGGCAAGGCCTCCACATTCATCCCTACTCTGGAGCCTCCAGAGCAGGCAGGCCAAGACCTGGCAAGTTTAGAAATGTCTAAGCTGTTGCCGGTGTGTCCCAGGCCTTCAGCCCTGGAGGGGACAGTGCCAGCTTGGAGAGATGGTGTCTGACCTCCAAACAGCTCTTCCTGCTAGTCGAGGCTGAAACGCCGGTGACGATTCTGCCCTGTAGGACATTAGCCTGGGCCAGGATGGAGCCATCTCAGAAACCTCAGCTCCCAGTGTTGGTGTTTTGCTGCAGCTTCCAGCAATGAAACACAGACCACAAAACTCAACCCAACCCACGTGGAGCTTGTTGGGAAAGGGAGTGAAGGGAGGGGTAGGAGTTGGCTGACCCGGAGGGAAACGGAAAAAGAGAGAACAGGTGGGCGGCACTTTATTAAAAGGGAAAACTGGTCCATGCATACAGAGTCCTTAGGCAGCCACGGTAACACACGCCATAGCCCTGAAGTGCAGGGTCCTTTTTGAGCTAGTTGTCAGGGGACGGGGTCAGCGTAGTGCCAGGATCTCAACACTCAGCATAGGGAGAACCCCCACAATTTGGAAGGTTGAGGGAGGCATGGTGATGCCTCTCTGGGAAGTGTCTTTAGAATCCCAGCCATAAAGAGCCTTGGAGTGCTTTAAAAGGTGTAACATTTGCACATAGTTGCTATTGTGTCAGATTTATAAGGCTAAACTGTGTCAGGCAAGACGGTCTCTTTGGACTCTTAAAGTCCGGGTTTCCTTGGTTGCTTCATGTTCTAGAGTTACAGTTGCAGGGAGATTCTTGGTCTATAAAGTGCCTGGCTGGCAAGCGTGATCGTGAAAAGCAGATTGTGGTTGTTTGGACTTGTCATCTTAGCAGTGGGGCGGTGTGGGGACTCCTAGCCTAATTGGTGAGGGGCCACAACTCAAAAAACAAAAGTGGATAGCTCTTGAAGAGTACTGCCAGAGGTTGCCACCTGGCTACCACAGTCTCACATGTATGCCGGTGTGTAAACGTGCGTCCAAACAGGAACACACACATGCGTACATGCCAGAATTACAGTGGCTTGCTTAGCTTTAGAGTCTGTAGGTGAAAACCGTTTATCAGACATTCTAGGTTTTATATGTAACTGTTTAGTTGGACATTTTGATTTTTTTTGTTATTGTGCTATTTAAAAGAAAGATTCATTTTGTGTGTGCACACACACGTGTGTGCAGGTGCCAGAGGAGTATGTGCAATCCTCTGGAGCTATAGTCACAGGCAGTTGTGAGTTGCCGACATGGGTCCTGGGAATTGGACACAGGTCCTCTGGAAGAGCAAGCGCTCTTAACTGCTGAGCCGTCTCTCTAGTCCCACGTTGTGCTATGTGAGGCAAGATATCTTTTCACTTTGAGTCATGTCTGTGTCCTGCAGTTGATATAGGATCCATTTCTTCGCCCATATCTCCCACTCGGCTCCCACTTCGAGATTTTGGGCTGCTTGTGACACCCAGAGAGCCTTCCTCATAATGACTGGACAAGGCAGGAGGAACTGATTTTACCCTCACAGGGGAGAGGAGCAACTCAATTAATGTCCCATTGTAATTCAGCCTGGACGAATTGGAAAATGCTGCAGGCTCTGTGGTGTGTTGTTGGAAACTGAATTTCTCCCTCCATTTCCCCAGGGCCTTTTCCCCCTCTGCCTAGAGCACATACTTGAAGGTTCAGGAAGCAGCATCCTGTTGCAATCATAACTTCATTGTTCCTTCTTATTATTTATTTAGTGTCTTCAAAAATAATTCCATTGCCTTTAATGATACTAGAGAATCACTAAGAGCCTTGGGGACAGCGTAGAGGGTGACTAGGCTGTTAACTGGGCAGCCCCCGTCTGAAGTCTCCAGCAGGGTTATTGCCACATCATTGGGGAAACTTGAGGGCTCTCCTACCTCCAACTCCTACTCTTTGCTCCTTCAAAAAGTCAGTCGACCTCTTGATCTTACAAAATCACTCACTCTGTAAAACCTTCATTAGGCCGTGGTGGTAAAAGAAACTGTGTTAAATCGCTGTGTGATCCTTGGTGATTCATTTCTCCTCTCTGAGCACGGGCTTTCTTAGCTGTTCCTGAATGGAGAGATTCGTTTCTAGGGACAGGAGGATCAGTGACACAACGGGAAGGAAGAGAGGCAAAGCCTGGAGCCAGCTAGACAATCCTCAGGTGGCCTCCCTCCCTTCCTGAATGACATAACAGAAAAACGGTGACAAAAATGTCCCCTGTGCTGAGCAGAGCATGGTGTGCACATGGGCGCATGCCCAGTTGTGTTTGCGTGTGTTGGCGTGTGCACGTTTGTGCACCCCTGCACGTGGAAGGCAGGGGTCAACCTCACATGCCATCTCATTTGTTCTTTGAGACAGGGTCTGCCGCTGGCTTGGGTCTCACTGAGCAGGCGCCAAGGGTCAGGTCCTCCTGGGTCCACCTCCCCAGCACTGGGATTACAAGTGTGCACACGCTCCACTTTTCTGGAAAATGGTTTCTGGGGACTGAACTTAGGCCCTCATGCTCACACAGCAAGCGTTTTCATCTATCCAGCTAACTCCCCAGCCTGGCTCAGTTTTGGCCCAGGAGCTCCATGTGTTTCTTCCACACAAGGCAGGTGGGGTGTTCGCACACCACTGGCTACACACACCTCAAGGGCGTGACCACATGCTGGGGCCAGTCCCCTCTTCCTCAGCTCACAGGTGGAGGACTTATGGGGGTGGGGGAGAGAAGCAGGTTGCCAGGGGCTATACAGGATGACTCTCCGGGAGGGTTGATCTCCTTCCAGGGGACTCCACGTGGGAATGTCCCCAGTATTCTATTTCCTAATCCTGTTTTTAGCTCCCTGGGCCCTCTAGGGACCTTAGTCCTCTCTGAAGTCAATGGGAGTAATTGTCGCCAGCCTCCTGCCTAATGACTGTGGCTGTCACTCCTCTTTGTACTCACGAAGAGAGGTGATCCATGATGCTTTGGAGCCTGGAATTCTGGGGTCTGGTGGATCCCTAAGACTTTCTTCCTGTGCCTCCCTCCACCTGGACGGCATCCCTGGGCCCAGGCCACAGAGGCGTGAGGAAAGTGGTCAGATCCGCACATGCCCGGCACACACTGACATGGCTGTGGTCTGCTTTTCTCCTCCTTCCTCCAGAGTATAAGAAGAAGTACGGGGAGGAACATGGCTCCTGCCAGGCCGGGATGGCAGGCTTCTTCACTGAGGTGGGTGTCAGCCACGTGGCATTTATTTCTCTTCCCTTCTTGGTGTTTGTCCCTTTCCGTTTTGTGGTCGGGTGGCCCCCTGGAGATGGGATTTCTGGTGTCCCGGGCAGCTGAGCCCCGAGTGAGTAGACGCTGGTGTTTCTCCCAGGGGACTTGAACCCTGTCGAAGGGCACCAGCTGAGCCGGGGTCACGCGGGTGTGGGGGGCTGGGCTGGCTCATGGGGAGACGTCCACAGAGTTGGCTTGGTTCTGAGATGTGTGGAAGGAGCTGACAGCAATTTGAAGATACGTCAGTCACCTGGGTGCCGACCTCAGGTCACTTCTGTCTCCTTAGAGGAGAGACTCAGTTTTACACACACCAGCCTTTCCATTCCTGGGGTTCTGAAGGCTTCTACTCTGGACTGTGCCCAAGTGGCAGGAACAGAGTTATTTTTGACTGCTAGGACATTTTTAGGAGCTGCTTACTCTATTAAAAATACGTTTCTTTATTTCTGTCTGTGTGCCTATGTGTATGGGTGAACGTCCCATGGCTCACGTGTGGAGGTCAGAGGAAAACTTCCAGGAGTTGGTTCTCTCCTTCCACCATGTGTGTTACAGGGTCAGACTCGGGTTGTCAAGCTTTGGGCCAAGTGTCTTTGTGTGCCGAGCCATTGCAGCCCCAGGGATCTTCTCTTATTTAGTGCTCATCTGTAAGTTTCCATAGTCTTGTGACAGCCAGCCCCGTGCCATCCCACTCTTGGGTTTGCCAGCAGCAGTACCAACTATGCACTTGTCAGGTCAAAGACCAAAAGTGCCTATCCACTCCAAGTTCATCTAAATCCCGTTTAGCCCCTAATACGCGTACCACGTCACATGACTGTTCTTTCGTGACAGCACTTTACCTGGTGGTGGTCACAATGCTTCTGGAAAAGCCACCAGCACCACTTGCTGGCTCACTGACCCCCAAATTGTCTCCCATGATCCTTAATTTTTTAAAAAACAAGATTGTTATAAATTATGTGTGTATGCGTGAGTGTATGTGCATGTTAGTGCAGTGTCCACAGAGGCCAGAAGGGGGCATCAGATTCCCTGGAGCTGGAGTCACAGTGGGTTGTGAGCTGTCAGACATGGGTGCTGGGAACTGAACTCAGGTCTATGGAAGACCAGCAAACACTCTTAAGTTCTGCCTCTCCCTTTTAAGTCACGCTCAAATATACATAATATAAATTCTTCCATTTAACCACGTTAAAGCCTACAGATCAGTTTTTAATGAATTCTCAGTGGCATGCAGCTGTCGGTCTTGTGTAGTTTTTTTTTTCACTCCAGCCTGGGTCCTTTCTTGAGTGGTACCATATGTTCTCTGCCCAGTAGCCTGAGGGATTTTGCAAAGCGAATCCTGACATTCTGACCCTGTGGCCTCCTGTTACAATGGAAGACAGAGGCCCTGACTCCACACTGCCCAAAGTCTGACTCTCAGGACTCCATGCCTTTCCCTCCTGGACGAGCATGTGCAACACTGAGGTGGCTCAGGGTTTTCTTTATAAAGAACAGCTCAGAGTCAGGAGTGGAATTGTCCTGTTCTCAGAGACCTCTCTACAGTCAAAGAGAAAACAGTTTATAATACAGCAGCTAGTCCAGAGGCAACAAAGAAAAGATAGTTTGAGAGCTGCACTCTCAAACTAGTAAACACCAGGTACTTTGCCTCCAGCCCCGCCTTTGGCTGGCCACGCCCATTCACACCAGCCCCTTTTCCTGACCCCTGTCCCAGTGATGTTCAAACGGTGTGGCCCAGGATCTCCATGGCTTTGGCCCAGCACAAGATACAGATACATTTAAAATGTAAAATTTACTTTCGCAAATTCACTTATCACATTTGCAGGCACGGATACCAAGTTCTGTAGGGATGTCAAAAGGATGGACTTTGTCTGGTCTACACAGAGTTCTGTAGGGATGTCAAAAGGATGGACTTTGTCTGGTCTACACAGAGTTCTGTAGGGATGTCAAAAGGATGGACTTTGGTCTACACCGAGTTCCGTGCTGGGTCCTGGGATTGGCACCACCGTTTGTTGTAGCTGCTGAAGTTAAAATGAGTCCCCCTCCTGCCTCCCTCTCTACCATCCCGCCAGTCTACAGACAGGCTTTCTCTCTGCTCCTCCATCCCTGCTGAAGAGCCCTTGTCATCATCTCCCAGCCTGGCCTCCCATCAGCAGTGCCTCGGAACCTCCGTCTACAGACAGCCAAGGCACCATGGTTCCCTTTGCCCAGACGCCCAGTGTCTCCCCATCCCCTTGTGGGGAAAACTAAGCTCCATGCTGTCCACAGCCTCTCTGTCCTCATCCTCTTCTCAACCTCCTCCTGCAAACACAGCCTGGTTGCTGCCGGGGCGTGTCACGGTCTCACTGTGACATTGTACTGGAGCGCCATTCCAGGCTCTGCGCACTACGGCTTGCTACACACAGCGCATCCGAAGGCATTCAGCGATTGAACTTTGGTGTATTGTGTTTTCAGTCACGAGGAAGAGGTCGTGGGCTACTCAGAGGGCTGCTTTTAGAATACTCTCGGGCACGCGCTGCCCACAGGCAGAGTTAGGGCTTGAGTGACTCGGCATGGGGCCATGTGGAGATATTTTCCCCTGAGGATAGAAGAGAAAGTAGATTCATGGCAGAAATGAGAATTCCTTGAACCTTTGACAGGGAACTGGGGGACAAGGAGTCCTGGGGGGAGGTGGGGGACGTAGGGGGAGGTAGGGGGAGGTCTATCTTTTTGGCCCCATCATCTGGTTAGCTGGGGAGAGTGAAGCATTAGGAGCCGGACAGGAGGGCAAAGGGCAGGAAGGGCAGGGCCATGTAGGAGAGACCAGGCAGCAGTGTAAGCTAAGGGTGACCAGCAGGAGGACAGAATGGGACTCAGAGCCCGAGATAACCTCGGCGCCTTGCCATTTGCCCCCTAGCTCTTCAGGTAAGTAGGGACAGAGTGTCCAGAGCCCAGGAGAGGCAGGAGGGCTCTGGAGGAGAGGTCCTTCTTTCTGCCACATCGTTTTCCAACTCCAGCGGTTGTCTCCTGGCTTGCCTCAGCCTCAGCTTTGGTTCCCAGGCTTTGGGCCCCTGTAAACGGCAGGTCTTTGAACTCCCTGTCTCCCTCTTGTCTGCAACTGAACAGGAAATACACTTGAAAGGGTCAGGCAGGCCCCATCCCCTGCCCCTGCACTCCTGCTGACCTCTGCACTCTGCCCCTGCTGTGAGTTGTAGCTTGCAGGACATGGCCATGTTGGGCCAGACTGTTCCCACCCGAGATGTCTGCTTGACCTGTGGGTCAATGACCCTGAGGTCGTCAATCCTCTCCCAGTTATAGATGCCCTGTGTCCTTGAGGATAAAGGACAATGTTAGCCATTTTTGTAGACTAGAGTATCAGAGAGGGCATCATCCAAGCTTCTAGACGAGGCAAGGAAGGTCCAGCCCTCTGTGGAAATGTTAGGTGACGTTTCTCCGCTCAGATGGATGCCGTGCTGCCTGGTGGCAGGCGGACAAAAGCGGATGACAGCCTCTTTCAGGTTCGTCCAGGTGACCTCGCACCTTAGCGGCGTCTGGGGGAAAGGCCCACGCTGCCGACTGAGGGATTGGATTTAGTCAGCCGTATCTTTTACTTGTGTGTGCCTGTGTGCAACATTGGCACTGGCTGTTCCTCGACTGGCAAAGAGCTTAGAGTTGATCACATTTTTTTCTGACATTTGTGAATAGCACCAAAAAGGACCCAGCCACTACTCACAATGAGTGGGAAAAGCCAAACACGAGGTCTTCCGGAAAGGCAGTGTGTCTCCCGTGAGTACAGCCAGGAGGGGGCCGCAGCTTTGGCTGAGCGTGCTAGCGTGGACGAGATGGGATAGACCGTGTGGTGGTCAGGATCTCTCAATGAACCTGGAGTTTGCCGATTAAGTGACCAGTGAACCCCAGGCATCTGCCGTCTCATCCTCCCCGCCATGCCTGGGTTTTTATGTGGGCGTTGGGGATGGAACTCAGGTCCTCATACTTCTGTGGTCAGCACTTTACAAACCAGCTAGGTCTCCAGCCATTAAAAGATGGCTTTTAAGGGACGAGATGACTGTGTTTGTACACTCTGTGACACTTGAGAGGTAAGCAGGAGATATTAACTATCTACTTGGTTTTTCTTCTTGATGAATCCAAACCACAGGCAAACAGCGCATCCCTCACCCAGGCCCTGCAGGGCCTTTGCTATCTCCTGATGTTGCTCAGAGCCTTGGCCCAGAAAAAGTTGCGGGCAAAGAGAATTTTGCACTGTGCACAGAACTGGTCCGGGGCATCACTCTTCAGTGCCCCTTGTGCTGGGGCCTTCATTACAAATTCCTTTTTAGAGGAAAGAATCTCTCTCCTCTAATGAACTCATGGTCTGTCTTTCAAACACTCCTTGAGACCTAGCGCTGTTCTCACACCAGTGTGAGGAGAGAGTGGATGGGTGGGTGAGTGTGCATTGCACACTCCTGGTGACTGTGGAAGTGGTCTGTCTCATAAAGGAAGAAAGGAGGGCGTGGAGAGAAGAGAAGACAAGAAGGCGTCCCATAGTGCCATGGCCCAACGGAGGAAGGGACCATAAACACACAGAGAGCCAGCCGCCTGCTCTGTGTCCCTAATACGGATATGTCATTCAAAAATTTATAATCTCAATAAAAGCTCAAGTGTACCCCGAGACTGTCCCTCAATGCCTATAGTTTTATTTTATTTCACATAGCGATTTTCTTTTTTAAAGACTTACTTGAGTGCTTGTCTGCATGCGTATGTGCACTGTGTGTGCATGTTGTATTTTTTTAAAATACTGACCTACAAAAGAATTAGATTTCATTTTTTTTTCCTGAATGAAATTGCTTTTGTTGTTTTCCCCCCATCATTCTTCTTTGTGCTCTCCCACCCCTAGGACTTTCTTTTCTTATTTAAAATTTTATTTATTTATCATTATGCATGTTTATGCACACAGTTGATGGATGTGTATGTACATGTGTGAGCGTGCCTCTCTCTGTGTGTGTGTGTGTGTGTGTGTGCAGGTATGCCTGCCATAGTACATGTCTGGTAGTCAGAGGACAACTTTCAGGAATCAGTGCTCTTTCCACCTTGGGTTTTGGGGATGGAACTTGGGTGGTCTGGCTTTTGCAAAACCCCCTTTACCAGCAGAACCATTTATCTGGCTAATATGTTTATTGAGACAACATCCAACCAACTGAGGTTAGCTTTGACTCACTATATAGTCAAGGCTGGTCCTGAACTCCTGATCCTCCAGCCTCCATCTCCCAGCTGCTGGGATTGTAGGAGCACACCACCATGCCAGGTTTGGTGTCGCTGTGTTCCCTGGAGTCACATGACTTAGAACAGTACCAATTGTTCACCATCCATGTTTTATCTTAGGGTGAAGCTGGTGTGTGTGTGTGTGTGTGTGTGTGTGCGCGTGCATGCGTGCGTGCGTGCGTGCGTGCGTGTGTGTGTGTGTGGTTATGCAGCCTTGTTGGTGGCCAAAACAGGGGCTTAGTCTGTCCCTCATTCTCCCGCCTTGTTTAGTAATCTCATCTTTAGGCCTGAAAATCCTAGCTACATGGTAGACTCTAGATTGCCCAGGACCTGGTACCATTGCCTGGTACCAATGCCCAGGACCAGGGCATTGCCATAGAGAGGCATCGTAAATTCAATTCTCAACTGTCCTTTGTCATGACTGTGACTTGCAATGTGTCACCTAACCTTCTGTGTCTCCTTTTGGATATTTCCCCCCCTAGGAACTGGTGGTCATGGGTGCCCCAGGCTCATTTTATTGGGCTGGGACGGTCAAGGTGCTGAATCTGACTGACAACACATACTTTAAGCTGAACGACGATGTGATTATGAACAGGCGGTATACCTACCTAGGTGAGTAGCCGGCGAGTCTGTAAGGAGACAGGGAGGACTGTGTGTGATGACCATCACCACAAGCTCATGCGTTATTGCTTTATTAACAGAAGCAGATGGCTTTTGTACCACCAATCTAATTAATTACACCCCAATTAGAGTTTCCTGACATCTAGTTGCATACATGGGCGGTAGAGAGGTCAAAAGAAGAAACCATATCAAAACCGGATGGTTTTGTTAAACTCTGATCGGGGAACCTCCAGGGGACCAACCTTTAGCAGCCAATCACAGTCAGACGGCCAGATACAAAATGAATGTGGTTGAACCTGGCTTTCCCTGGAGACAATTTTGAATGGTATATCTGCTTCATGGTCACCAGTACGAACAGTAAGAATCAGAATTTTCACCAGGTCGAGCAACATGACGCTGAGCTTTCCTCAAGAACTCTGGAAATTTCTCTTATTTTTTTCAGTTCTTTTAATTGGCTAGAAAGAATATAGGCATAATTTAATTAAGCAGCTACCAGGCAAAAATGATCCTGGGCTGGATACAGCAGGGTGTATCCATAGTTCTTGCTACTCTGGAGGCCACAGCTTCAGCAGGGAGTCTTTGTAATGGAGGACATTTGAGGCTGTTCTAGACTACATGGTGAGATGCTGTTTCACAAAAAGGCGGGGGGGAGGGAAATGAAGACAGAAGGAAGGAAGGAAGGAAGAAAGGAAGGAAGGAAGGAGGGAGGGAAGGAAGGAAGGAAGAGAAGGAGGAAGGGAGAGAGCAGGAGGGAGAGAGAGAGAAGGAGAGAAGGAGCTGAGAGGAGACCATCTTATTTAAGAATAAAGATAAGCTGGGCACGATAGCCCGTGCCTGTAATCCTAGTGCTCTGGAGGCTGAGGCAGGAGGATCCCAAATTTGAGGTCAGTTTGGGCAGCTTAGCAAGACCTTGTCTTGAAAAACGAAGAACAAACAAAGAAGCACTGGTGAGAACAAACAAAGAAGCACTGGTGAGAACAAACAAAGAAGCACTGGTGAGAACAAACAAAGAAGCACTCGTGAGAACAAACAAAGAAGCACTCGTGAGAACAAACAAAGAAGCACTGGTGAGATGGCCGCCTTTGCTTGTGCAACAGTAACAGTTCTTTTCTGTTCAGCCCAGACCTTACGTGGACCAAAAATTAAACTAAACTTGGAAAGGTTAACAATGACAAAATAATGTCTTTCATGCCTGCTGTATATAAAGTAAGCCAAGGGAAACTCCTGACCCCCTTTTTAGATAAAGAGCTCCCTGGAAACACCTTGCTAGGCAGATGTAAGGAGCGTGAGTGCGTGTGTGCGTGCATGTGTGCGTGTCTGTGTGTGTGTGCGTGTGCGTGCGTGCGTGCGTGTGTGTGTGTGTGTGTGCGCGTGCGCATGCATGCATGCGTGTGTGTTTGCCATTCCCAGACTGACTGTTTTGCCGACTGGCACAGGCCCGCAGCACTCTCCACACTATGAGGTGTTTCCGCACCACCTCACAAGGCAGCCATTATCACCACCGGCTACAGTTCATAGGTGAGGAACTGCGCAGACATTATGTAACTTGTCAACGTCACATAGCTTAAAGGCAGCGAGTCCATTGTAAACCGGTGGTTTCCGATGCAGGGTCTAAATGGTGAAGCCCCCAGCCCCAGGGTGTGTGCTGTGGAGACATCACTTGCCTCTGGTACTGAGCCCCCTACTAAGCTGCAACCACCGTGAGGTGGGGGTTCTGCCCCACATTCTCAGGGCGTTGTATATTTAGTGACTAGAAGGGACTCAGCACTGAGTCAGGGATTTAAGGGAAGGCTCAGAAAATCACAGCTACTTGGTAGCTTTAGGTTTGAGGACAGGTCCTGAGAACTACAGGACCTGTGGTTTCTCTTCTGTGACCAAACTAGAGGCCCTTATCTGCTTCAGGGATTTGCGTGGAGTAGTCGAGGGTGGGTATCACTTGTGGCCGTCTTGGTAACAGGAGCCTTCAGGCTGAGAGACATCCACCATGGGGAAAATGGGATGGCCATGCTCAAGAGATGACAGTTGACACGTGTCACAAGTCAGCATGCAATCATCACAGCATCAGGGTTTGAAGGCCATGGGAAGGCTTGGGTGAGTGATGGACAGTGACATACACTCTTTCTGCTGGCCAAGGTGTGATTTCAGCCTGCCAGCTAGGCATGCAGAAGGCAGGAGACATTTAAATCAAACTCAGGTGGCCCTTTCCCCATTGCTTCGGGGTTCCTTTCAAACCCAGACTCTTCGAATGCCCATCTGCTCACCCATCCATGCACCCATCCACCACCAGTACCTTTCACTTCTCTTAAAAAGATTATTATTACATAGTTTCTAACCACGGATACTCCAAACTCATGCAGATGGTCTTAGAATCTTGCTTGATAATCTTGAGCATGGTTAGCTAACCATGTATTGTCTGTATGCAAAAGAAGAATATTGAAATCTTTTGCAGTATTAGGAATTGAACCCAGGGCCTTATATACACCAAGCAAGCACTCTGCCATTGAAATCAACCCCTAGTCCTTTGTTCATTTTCCTGACCTGGATGGGGTTGCACTATAAGGATGTGTGTTCTCATTCATGAAGTTGTACACTTTTGTGTGTGGACTGTGTCATTAGAATTGTATTTCCCCAAAGTAAGACACACACAGAGTACTTAGCACCCTACTGCCCTCACAGTGTCCATGTGAGCATGCATTTTCATGAGACAAGCTATTTAATATGAAAAGATTGACAGCTGTCACTTGTCTTCCAGAAGGGCGTATGTCCCAACAATAGCATACTGCCTGAGTAAAATACCTACCTAGGAAATGTTTTCTTCAGCTGCGTATGTTTTCCTTATCTGACCTTCTTTCTCAAGCGTGTCTTCGATTTCTACCCATCCCGTTCAGGCTATGCAGTGACTGCCGGCCACTTCTCTCATCCGTCCATCACCGACGTGGTAGGAGGCGCCCCACAGGATGAAGGCATCGGAAAGGTGAGGGGGAGAGAAGCCCGAGGCGTGGTGTAGTACCACGCAGAGGAGGGAGCATCCTGCCCTGTAGAGGCCTTTCCAGTTTGCCTGGTCTTGAACACTCTCCCAGTAGGCTGACGAGTAAGTGGGGGCTGATGGGGAGCCCTCCCCTCTCTCTGACTGTCTCCTTCTGGTCACATTGGGAGCGATCACCTTGAAAGTTTAGAGTGTTTGCAGCTGACTTTGGGTGAGATTTTAAAGACTACCCTTGACATCCTGGTACCCTCCAGAGGAAGAGCATCTAGTGCTGTTCAAACTCAAACACCTCCGCCTTCCCAAACGACTCTGACCTGATGGAATCAGATCTCATCTGCGATGTCTTGAGAGGTTCATAATGCCTGATTTTCATGTTCCCCGATGTTTCAGAAAAAACGAAAACAAACAAAAAACCCCACTTTGTTTTCAAGACTAGTGTAACTAGGGCTAGCCTGGGAACATGTAGATTTGACTTTCTCTGTCATAGTTGCCAAGAAGGTAGGGGATACCCCAAAGCACAGGGCACTCTTAGACGTTCTGGGAATCATGGCCTCTCAGGGTCAGCGAAGGGGAACTGTGGCGGTAGGTAGCATCATGGTTCAGGCACCCTCGCTCAGGAGATCCACATTTATCTTACTGGCTGTACTCATTTCTCCTCATCACTGTCAAGAAGCCATTTAGAGAGAGGAGAATTTATTATGGCTTGGAGTCTGAGGAGAGAGATGCTGTCACAATGCAGAAGGCATGGCGGCAGAAAGGAAGTATCTACACCCCAAAAACAGAAAATTAACCTCAAGGCCTGCCCCCACTCACCTTCCAAAAGGCCCCTCCTCCCAGCCCTCCCAAACACTGACACCAGCTGGGAACCAGGTGTTCAAACACGTGACCCGGCAGGGGACCCTATTCATTCAAACCACAGTGTTGGGAAAAGCTGAACCGTGCTGTAAATGCTGGGCCCATAGTCCCAAGGGTAGACCAGTGTATCTCCTGTGCTTCAGAGAAGTGGAACCCTGAGTTCTGGACCCCACAGCCTGGTTAATGAGCACCATCAGCAGAGAAGTCAGCTCAGAAGCCATCAGCTGACGGGGCTTGATGAGACCCGCTCATGAGGCCTTGTCTCCGGATCATCTTGGGCAGCAGGCAGCAGTCGCTGCTCGGGCTTCAGGAGTGTGATGCGGTGGAGAGAGGTCCTTAGAAAATGAAACCAAGTAACTCAGGGCTCAGGCAGAGTTGAACTCTGATACTCATGTCAAGAGCTGACTCTTTCTGAGTCACATGAATTCCTCTTCATAGTGGAAGAAAAAACCCAGTGACGATTTTGCTGTCTAGGGAGGAAGCAGGGCCCCCAGACTTCTCCATTGTAACTTTTACGAATGGGTGCTTTCACTCCTGGTGTGAGAACACCAGAGCATTCACACCAACGTGGTTGTTCCTTAGCCTAGGAAAGGGTCCTCTACTCTGGTTCTCATGAGCTCATCTTTGCATAATATGTTACTAGAGATGGCTCGGTGATTTAGAGTGCTTGCTGCCTTTGTAGAGGACTTTTAGTTCCCAGCACCCACATCCAGAAGCTCACAGCCACCTGTAATTCTAGCTGCAGGAGATCTGATGCCCTCTTCTGGTCTCTTCACACCACACACACACACACACACACACACTCACTCACACAATACACTCACACACATACACACTCACATAAATACACACTCACACATACACGCACACTCACACACTTACACTCACACACATACACACTCACACACTTACACTCACACACATACACACTCACACACTTACACTCACACAATACACACTCACACACTCACACATACTCACACACACTCACACACACACAAGGAGAGAGAGAGGGGGCACTGAAATACTTTGTGAAGATGGAATGATGAGGGGCTAGAGAGACAGTTTAGCGGTCAACAGCACTTGTTGCTCTTGCAGAAGACCAGAATTAGGTTCCCAGCACCCACATGGTGGCTCACAGCTGTCTGTAACTCCAGATCCGGGGGGGTTAAATGCCCTCTTCTGACCTCTGTGGACACCAGGCACACATATGGTGCACATACATGCATGTTGGTAAAACACTGATATATGTAAAATAAAATCATTAAATCTCTTAAAAACAAAACAAAACAAAAACAGCTGGGCGTTGGTGGCGCACGCCTTTAATCCCAGCACTTGGGAGGCAGAGGCAGGCGGATCTCTGTGAGTTCGAGACCAGCCTGGTCTACAAGAGCTAGTTCCAGGACAGGCTCCAAAACAATACAGAGAAACCCTGTCTTGAAAAACCAAACCAAACCAAACCAAACAAAAAAACAAAAAAACCCCACAGATGATTATGATGATGATTATCCACACAGACTCCATAATTCTAACTACAGTGTGGGATCACGTTGGAGAGTTTCTCCCCAGTGCTCACCTCCACCACCTTGTCTTAGATGGTGACTTGATTAAAGCTCTAGCTCTCAAGACTGAAGGGGTTAAAGAGAAAGGGCCCTATTGTGCATGGTTTCTACGGGGCAGCTCAGGGAGCCCTGGAACTCCTTTCCACGCCACCCCGGACTGACACTTTCTCTGCTGCGGAGTTGCTGGGAGCTCCGTTGACTCCTTTGTTGTCACCAGCCAGTGTACACACACCTGAAAGGCCATGGGCACACAGTGAGGACAGCCTGTAGTCAGTGCTTCCGTCCTGACCCGGGTTTGTGTTGTTTTCCTCCCACAGGTTTATATATTCAGAGCTGACCGGAGATCAGGGACCCTTGTAAAGATTTTCCAGGCTTCAGGAAGAAAGGTGAGTTCTTGATGTGGCTCAACAGGGAGTCAGTTCCCTTTGAGGGTGTGTGTAACCTGAGGGCACACGCGCACCCGAGGAGACATGTAGCAGATGAGTGTGTACAGGGCTGAGCTACAGGCTTGCTTAAAAGGGCGTCATGGTCCAGGTGCTGGTGCCCATGCCATGGGCGCTGTCTCCCAAGCGACGGGCGCTGTCTCTCTGCCTTCCCCCTCCCTTCCCTTTGTCTTCCTCTAGCTTCCCATGCACGCACAAATCCAGTCCAGAAGGATCAGGTACTGACCATTGTCCCCGTCTCATCCCCTGATGCTGCCTCCTCTGCCCATGCCCTTGTCCCCTGACTATTGTTGCCAGGAGGGCCACTATCATGTAAAGAAAATTCAAATGAAACCCACCTTAGTTCATGTACAGGGATGTTCAACCCACATCCGATAGGCTGTGTGTACCACAGGGTGTCTATCCATGGATGCAGACTAGCACAAAATTATAAAATTCCTTAAAACACCACGAGGTAGGGGAGGTAGGTGTGTGTGTGTGTGTGTATTTATTTCAGGTAATAACTTTGTACCTCAATGTTCTTAGAAGGTTGAGAAACAGCCACAAAGCCATTTCTGGAGGCTGTCTTGGAGAAGGGCTACATCACACCCTACCACGCTCACCTCCCTCCCTGTTTCCTGAAAGTTTCCAGTAGAATGGTCCGGTGACTCACTCACATCCTTTTCCTGGGCTTCCCTCTCCTGCCTGTGTTTTTGTGGCTTAGATCAGTAGGAAGGTGTGGCTGAGCTTGGTGGCTCAGCAGGCCAGGAGGACTGGGGGATCCTGGGGGCTGTTGGAGGACTCAGTGGGCTCTGGAACAAAGCTTAGGATGCGTGGAGTGTGGGAGGGAGCTGCCAGGAGGCTTTGCCCGCAGTTTCTCCGAGACAAGGGGGGAACAGGGATTGTTCCTTCCTGGCCGGCATCCCTGGTTCCCGCTGCATTCCTGCTGTGGGTTGTTCTTGCTACACACCAGCCTAGAAACATTCCATGTTGCCCCAACAGTGAGTGAACGGTGTTCAGAATTCCAAGAATCCCACTTACACATAGTTGTTATTTTTCCCCCTATGGTTGCAATTTTAACAACCTTAATATGTACACTCAGTATATAATGATCATAACCTTTACGTGGAAAAAAATGCACCCACAAACTTGGCTCTGCCTCTAGCTCTCGGAAGTGTATGGCCATGTGTTATTTTAACATTTCCCAAACCCCAAAATATTAGCATCAGAAAGCATCAGTGAAAAATTTGCAAAACGAGTTTTCTAAGCAACTCTAAAGTTAGGAAAGAAAGAGCTACATACTATTTGTGATGTATAAAACAGAGAGAGCCCCCCCAAACAAGTAGGGGTGACTACCATGTGGTAAATGGGTGGTTGTGTCCATTGTGGATAATGTGCCTACACGTGAAAGTGTGAGCATTCTTTCACAGTGCTTGTAGAGCTGGACCCTGCTCCCCCTGCTGTCTGTCTATCATCAGTCAGTCTGTCTGTCCTTCTATCATCAGTCAGTCTGTCTGTCCTTCTATCATCAGTCAGTCTGCCTGTCCTTCTATCATCAGTCTGCCTGTAGCTTCTCTTCTCTGCCCAAAGCCCCTAGGTCTGGAGAGGGGCTTCCATGACCAATTGTGTTGAAGTGAGTCGGGTTCAGGGACGATTTGGGAGTGGATGCTGTGAAGGGAGATCATGCAGCCGTTGAGAACACTCATCTGAGTTGCTGAGGAATCAGTGCATTGAGCTCTAGGACAGACTCATATCTGTTTGAATGGCCTCATTGCGATAGGGTGAGCTGGATTCTTCCATGCAGAGACTGCAGGGCCACAGTGCTTTACTCCAGCTCCACAGTCATCTTCCTAATCCCCCCTCCTTCCCCATTCTCCCAGCCTCTCTCCTTTCCTTCCGTATGTGGTGTGTGTGTGTGTGTGTGTGTGTGCGTGCGCGCGCGTGCGTGCCATCATGTGGATATACACATGTACGTGCATGCAGATGTACTGCATGCTTACGTGTGCGTATGGAGGCCAGGGGCCGATGTCTGGTGTCTACCTCAGCCACTCTACCTTATTTCTGAGAGAGGCCCTCGGTTGGCTGGCTGGGCTGTGAGCTCCAGGGATCCACCCGTCTCTGCTTCCTCAGCACCAGGGTTGTAGATGCTCAGGCTTGGGTCCTCATGCTTGCACAGTCTGTACTTTACGGTCTGAGTCATCGCCTGGGACCCCACCATTCCTTTAGGGCTCCTCTCCGCAAAGCCATCACCCTGCCCCGTAGTTACTCCTAAATCATCTACACCCCTGCCGTGGCCTTCACCGTCCCCTCTCAGCAACCCCAGCTACCCTTGCGCTCACCGTCATCCATCCGACCTTGACACGGGCCTTTCCCTTCTGCAGACATCTGCTTATTGCTAGAAGATATCCTCAGCTCTCTGACTTCTCCATTATCTTATAGAGAGAGGATGTGACCTCCTGGGCTTCCAAAGGTCTCCAGCGTGGCCCTTTTTGTTCAGGGCTCCGTAGACAACAGAAGGTTCCAACTAGAAAGTCACCCATTTACTTCTGCTTTGCTTTGGCTCTACTCCCGTTCAAACTGTCTGGTATCCTGGCTCCCTTTCCCGAAGAAAGGAAACCAACAACAGCACCACAACTGAAAAAGAGAAAATAGAAAAGTGGTCTGCTCTTTATTGAGTTGACACCTTACAACAGTAAGCTCAAGGTCACTGCTGTTTGTGGTTCGGATATGAATCCAAACACACTCCAAGCTGCCAAGGATTGTAGCTCCTGGTCCAAAGCATGTCCTTGACATGCCAAAATGTCATTGACTCACCTCAGTGGGTGAAATGTCTGCATTTAAAAACAACTGAAGGATTTTTGATTCAGCACCCATGAAGATACCAAACTAAATAGCCTGCTGGGGTTAAGCCGATCACCCCCCTAGGGCTCAGCCCAAGAGAACAGCTGTTGTCTCTGCTCTTCTGGTCTTGCAAGGTTTCTAAACAATGTTCCCCAGGCCTCCAGGGCTAGTATTTACTGCAGGAAGTAGTGTGGAGTTCTCACGCCTCTCTGTATCTCCCCGGGGTCAGTTACCAACAGGTCTCATAAGCAAGTGAAAATTCCGGGCCCTTCCGTTTGAAATCAGCTTCAGACCTGCAGCCCTCTAGGGCAGACGCAGCATGCATGCTTAGGGCAAGCACGATATTTTCTTATTTATCACAGAACTGGATATTAGCCTAGGACCTCTCATTGTCTAGGCAAAGCCCTCTTACTGCTGAGCTGTGTATCCGTAGCTCTTTTGTAACATTTACTTAAAGGTCTATAACTTTAAACCATGTGTATGTGTGTGGGCTTGTTGTGCCCATGAGTGAAGTGCCCTTGTGAGCCAGTGATGTCACATGTCCCTGGAGCTGGAGCTGCTCGGTGTGGGTGCAGGAAGCAGAACTCAGGACCACTGAGCCATCTCTCAGCCCCTGCTTTTACTTTAGAGGGAGTGTCTTGCTAAGTTTGCCAGGCTGGCCTTGAACTTGGGGTACCTCAGCCCCAAATATCTGGGATTACAGCCCTGAACCAATAATCCCACAGCAACCAGCCTTAAAAAAATAATGAACCTGTTGCCAGCATTTGAAATAGGTACCGGAAGTCAAAGTTTAGTAGTCTTTTGGAAAAGGAAAAGCTGACGTGCTGGGGCCCAGCTCTCCTGGTGCTGTTAGCCACAGCTGGGTGGGGTCGTGCCCGTGGGCTCCGGGACGCTGCAGTCTCCACCACTCACTTTCACGACTTAGCCACAGAGAACCCAGACGTCGCCTGTGAGCACGCTTGCGCTGCCAGCTTTTATTTCACTTGTTCCGTCCAGGCTAAAGCCCGGATCTTTGGCCTTTGGATTTGAGATGGTGGATATAATATAACAGATACTGGGCAGGAGGCTTGGCTGCAGAGTCTTGTTATATGAGGACCTAAGTGCGACCCTTCCATCCTTGGAGTGCACTCGGAGAAGCCGAGAGTGGTGGTGGCGTGCTCTTGTAACCTCAGCACGGGGGAGGCGGAGATGTGCACATGTACCTGCATACCTGTGTACACGTACACACATGTGTACTGCACTCACATGAACAGGCGCACACATGAGCATGCACACCACACACACACACATACACACATACACACACACATACACACATATATACACACATACACACACATACACACACATACATACACACACATACACACATACACACATACACACACATACACACAGACACACACATACACACACATACACACACATACACATACACCACACACACACACACGAGAGAGAGGGAGAGACAGAGAGAATAATAAAGTAATAGGTACCGATTGCACTCTGATTCAAGAAGATCCAGCCCCACTTCCTCATGTATCAAAAAGGATAGCGCATGGATTATGTGTTCTTCTGTCATGCCGGCTCATGCATGACCCATGTCTTACCCTGTGTAAGGCTGGAGGGGATATGTGCCCTGTGGCATATTTTCCTACCTGCCTGTGTTATAATACTTACTATGCCTTGTCAAATGTCTGGTACATGGAGCATATACATAAACACAGTGTCTCACTGTAGGGGGACTGCCCCTTTACCTGCCCCTGGTGTCTGGTACGTGGAGCACATACATAAACACAGTGTCTCACTGTTGGGGGACTGCCCCTTTACCTGCCCCTGGCAGGGCTCTAGGAAAGGGGTCTCTAAGATGAGCAGCTTTGGTCTCTCATTGACTGGAAAGTCTACAGGAGTTGGGTGTGCCTCTCTGTGCTCAGCTGAGGCGGCTTCTGAGGGAATGGGGACATGGGCTGACAAAGCAAGGACAGCTTCTGAACACGCTGTGATTGGACTCGGTTGCAGATGGGCTCTTACTTCGGCTCCTCCTTGTGTGCAGTTGACCTGAACATGGACGGCCTCTCTGACCTGCTCGTGGGGGCCCCCATGTTTTCTGAGGTCAGAGATGAAGGGCAGGTTACTGTCTACCTCAGCAAAGGAAATGTGAGTACGATATGGGGCAATGAGGAGATGGGTATCGGGAGGGACATCACTCTAGTCGTCATGGCTAGCACCCATCGGGTCCCACTGGAAGTAAACTGTGCCTTGGATGATGCTACCCAAAGGAGCTGAAGACCAGAGTCCCGCATGCAAAGGCTTAATGATCCGTTAATGGACAGTTGCACACAGTGCAGGACCCAGGGAGAGGCTTAATGGCTATGGGGTGCTGCGTGTGGTTTTTTTCTGCTTTCTCTAAGTGATGTCGGTGTGATACACATGCTGTAGGAAGGATTTCCAATTTTCAGATGAAATAAACCAAGGTTCAGGAAGGTTAACTCCGCTGCTTCAAATCTAAAAGGTAGAGAGGCTGGGATTTCAGCATCAGCAAACTGGTTTCATCTCACTTCTCAGAGTTTATGTGCATCTTTCTAGAGAGACAGGGACGGGATGTCCTCGAGGAATCTCGAGGAAGGAGTAGGGATTGAGCAGAAAGTGAATTGGACTGGGCCAGAGCTCCCAACAGAAAGAATCCTGTGGGTTGAGTGGTGAGGTGGCAGGACCCTTACCCAGTTCAGCATGGAGCAGGGGCTGGGTAGGAGCTGACAAACCGGCCAAAGGCTGTAAGCACTGTGTCCCTTATTCTTCAGCACCATAGAGGGGCCAGACAGGGGCAAAGGGGCCTCTTCCTCCTCTGCAGCTGGTGGAGGGTGGGTGGGTGGGGCCTTAGGAAGAAGGGCGGAGCAGCAACCAGTAGAGGCAGTAGACCCGTGACAAAGCGACCATGCTTGCCACACTCCATCTGATACACCTCACTGCTATGGGGCTGCTCTGTGTACAGAGGTATTCTGGTTTTTATTGAACTGCAGCCCACAGTCCGTGTGGCCCGATGGAGGAGTGGAGGTAACAGAGTAGGTAGGCCCGAGCTTGAATCTAAACCCTGCCAGATCTTACATGTGAACGGTGAGCTAGTAGCTTGAAATTGATCATCTCTTCCTCTACAAAGCAGGGAGTGTCATGTGCTCTAAACAAGATGACCATACAGGACATGGGCAGATGGATACATACAGAGGGGCTTGGGGTTTTCCCCGGCACATTAGCAGGAAGCATTACAGAACTGGACATCTGTGACCAAGAGTGCTTGGATTTAACCAACCACAGACTGAACACATGGGAACAGAAAACCATTGTGCCCTACTGGACATGTATAGACCATTTGCATTGTATTAGACTTGGTTTAAGGATAGGGAATGCATCCACAGGTTCCATGCAAGTACTCCACTGTTTTATATTTGAACATTTGAAGTGTTAGTTTGCTGGGGACCAGGTGCCAACACTCTTGGACACCAAAGGACAACCTTTTGTGTTTTGGGGTGGGGCCTCACCAATGAGATAAACCAAATAATCAGGTTTTTATTTTTCAAGCTACAAGTTCTATTTATAGCAATAGAAATTTATTCACAACAAGGACACACCCTGGTGTGGTGGACTGTGGGTGTGTGTAGGTCCAAAATGCCTCTATACCAGGGAAGCCTTAAAGATTCTCAAGCCTGCAGCTGTCAGGTGTTTTAATGTCCTGGTATTTCTATGGCAGTCATTCTTGGGGATGATGGGTCTTCTTGGACGGCTTCTGCCGCCATATGCACCATTGCCCTGCCCCCAGCGTTTGCCCAGGGGTCTCAAAGCTGACCCACGTGTGATGCACCCTGACCCCAGGTGCCTCTGGCTGTAGAACCAGGACCCTTTGACAGGATCGTTCTGTGCAAACCTCAGGGACTCGTACCAAAAGACACAAGAGAGGGAGGCGGTGAAGACTCCTTCGGTTACTAGAGTCTGAAGTTCTCAACCTTCACCTTTCTACCAAAAACCAAAGAGAAAATTGAGGAAGGAAATAGATTTATTCAAGGCCCTGAGTAAAAGACAGGAGACTTCTTAATCTCAAATTGGCACCCTGGGGTGGGAGGTTCAGGAGTGCAAAGACACAAAGGTTACCTGGGGTGCTGAGCAGGACATCACTGGCCTGGGGAGGGCCTTCCTCCCTGAGCCCGTCTCCTCTCTTCCTGAACTGGACCAACGACCTTGGTTCTAGATCATTACATGCATTTTCTTTTTAGATGAACACAGTTCATCTGGGCAGAGGCAGGGAGGCCGCCAGAGACCCCCTCCTTACAATTTAGAAAACCACAGGAAAGGGCCAGGTGGTCTAAAGTCCGGTGAGGAACTGGGGAGGGGAGCCGAGGGGACTATTTCTTGCTCTATTGTACCTTAAAACAGTGTTGGACTGGGTGTGGCGGCTCACGCCTTTAATCCTAGCATTCAAAAGGCAGAAGCAGGAGGATCTCTGTGAACCTGAGGCCAGCCTGGTCTACATAGAGAATAGCCAGAGCTACACAGTGAGACCTTACCTAAAAGAAAACAAAAATCACTCCAGGGGAAGATTTAGGCTATAAGGAGAGCAGAGAGGAAGGGCACTCTGGGGACAGGGGAAGGGGAGGCTTGCCTTTCTGAATTTGGCCAGGTGACATTCCGTTACTGGGGCACCTGCCATTGTCTTTCTCCTAAAGCAGATCTCTGGCTATTTTCAGACTCTCTCGTTGCATTCCTGAAAGGCTTTACTTTGCTGCAAGGAAACAGATCTGGGTTCCTGTGGTTCTGCCCAGCTGTTTCCTGTCCATGGCTGTGCCCTAAGAGGCTCTGAGCTCCAGGTTTTTATTGTGCTCCTTTGACCCCCTCTTTCTTTTCCTCTACCTCCATCCTGTTTCCCAGGGAGTCCTTGAGGAACAGCTGTCCCTGGCTGGAGATGGTGCCTACAATGCTCACTTTGGGGAGAGCATCGCCAGCCTGGGTGACCTTGATGATGACGGGTTCCCAGGTGAGTAGGGCCTCTGGGGCAGGGGTCCCTCCAGGTGCGACAGCTGGCCACGCTCTGACTTTGTCCCTTGTTCACAACTGGATCTTGGACTGCCCGTTCTACCCCGGAGGGCCCACCAACTCCCGTGGAGAGAAAGGGCAACTCTCAGAGACGGAGTGGGCACCTGAATGTCACTTCTGCACAATCCATTCCGCCGTCCACTGGGGGCTTCTTCCCGTCACACAGTGCTGCTTGTCTCCGTATCCGGGATGCTCTGTCATGTTGTTGGGGAAGTGAATAAGGAGAGGGAGGTGTTTTCCTCCCCGATAACGTCGGCCTGGCTGGGAATGTGTGTGTTGGAGAGATGGGTGG